GATTTGGGGATACATTTTGGAGGTAAAACTGATAGAACTTAGTAATGGACTGTTTTAGAGAAACGAGGGAGAAAAAAGACTTGAGAAGAGTAGGGAAGTACAAAATGATCATTTAGGAAAGAAATCAACTGAGTTTTCTGGAGATACCTAGTTAGGTTGCCAAGCAATGTTTAGGTCTGATGTTGGCTTTTCATTGATACCAGTGAGTTTAGTTGTGTGTTTGAGTATAAGCACAAAAAAATGATTGGGTTCATCTGGGGTTGGGGTTTGATGTGTTTGCCAGGGGAGAAAGAAGCATGGCAATTACTATAGTATTTTCAAAGAATTTATTCTACTGAGTGATTGTGAGAATCTAAACAGATAGAGAAGTCAAGGAAAGAGGCTGACGGGGAGAGTGGGACTGATAGGGTTGTGGAATGGAAGTCATAATAAGATAGAAGATGGTGGGAGAGTGGGGTGATGGACTGAATATGCTGAAAGTAAAAGAGTTTTATTTGAGCATGGGATGTCTGATTTTAGATTTTATAGTTGTTTATTTTTAAAAATATATATTTTTTATTTTAAAATATATTTTATTGATTTCAGAGATGAAGAGAGAGGGAGAGAGAAATAGAAACATCAATGATAAGAGAGAATCATTGATTAGCTGCCTCCTGCATGCTCCACAATGGGGATCAAGTCCACAACCCTGGCGTGTGCACTGACCAGAAATCAAAGCATGACCTCCTGGTTCGTAGATTGACACTCCACCACTGAGACACATCAGCCAGGCAAGATTTAACAGTTGTTAAGAGTTCAATGAGCCAATAGCTCAGCATTTGGGACAGGTCATCTAATATATGTTGAAGTTGTCTAATATGATGACAGGAGGTAAGCTGGACTTGAAGAACGGAAGCCAGTGTTGAAATCGAAAGTCAATGAAGAGAAGTGACAGCAGTTGACAGCAATAGGGAGGAAAGTGTGATTTTGCTGAATGATATGAGTCTCAAAGGAGAGGGGAGCCATACAAGGGGAGCAGGCAAACTACCAACCCTGAGGTGAGAATAAGCAGTTTCCATTTAAGAGGCCTACAGGAGCAATGCCATTCTAAGATAGGCCTGAGGTGCCATTGAGGCCTATGAGTAGGTGGAAGGAGTAGGGAGAATGAAGGTAGAGAGTATAGGAAAGTTTGTTGAACACAGAGCAACCATTTTTAAGAGCAAAAGAGGTTCAGCGTTGGGTCACATGGAGTGATGGATACAGTAAGCAAGTTGGAGCCGAGAGTTGATAAGATAAAGGATTTCTGGAGAGGCTCTCGTGTCTGCAGAGGATTTACTCCTGCACGGCTTTAGGAAGAAGGCAAGTATTTAGCCTAACACTGAAGTCTGAAAGGTTCTTTTTTTTCCTTTTTCCTTTTTAAACAACAAGTATAGTAATTGTCTGGGACATTTTCATTTTAAAGTTGATAATAAAAATCCACAACAAATTAATGAGTATAGAGTTTCTGTTTGCGATGATAAAAAATATTCTGGAGACAAATGGTGGTGATGGTGGCACCACATTGTGAACACACTTCATGCTGAACTGCACACAAAGATGGTGAATTGTATGTCATGTATCTTTACCACAATAAAAAAAAAAATGTACCCATTAGCAACAGTTGTAAATTACCAGCCCACTTGGGAAATTTGTTCTCAGACATATTTTATTTGTCCTCAAACTGTTTTGGCCATCATTGTGTGTAAAAATCAATAAAAACAATAGTTTCTAACATTTAGAAATCTGGACATTTTGTATAAAATACCTTTCAAAACTGGGCTAGCTAATGATGTGGGCACACATCCCTACCTGCTTCTGACCAGCTGGAGCCCAGGGGGCCTGCTCCCCTCACCAATGCCTGTGCCTCTCTTATCCCTGCTGTGTTCTTGTCAGCACAGAGACCCAAGTGCTGCAGCCATTGAGACTGGTGCTGCCCTTTCGTTTTCAGAATTCATAGGACGATGCATTAGTTGTATAGCGGTGCTTCTAGAAAGGTGAGAAATGAAAGGGAGACTGAGCAGGAAGTTTTAAGGAAAGTGGGAGAAAACATAGTTGTTGGTGGAAATGAATTTGGTTGTTTTAATGTGTAAACAAAGTTGGTCCCAAGAATATAATATGGCCAACATCGGTTATTTTTATTACCTGAGGGCAGTTGCATTTGCCTCCCTGATTTATATAAACTGTTTATAAGTTTTATATAATTTGTGTAAAACTGAAAAATGAACAGAACATAGGAAAAAAAATCACTGCTTTCACCAAATCTTATTTGACTAATGAAACTACCTTGACTTTGAGCCTTTTAGGAACAATCCATAGGGTAGTAATTAATTAATTAATTAAAATATTGTTCTTAATATTTGTTCAGAAAAAAACCAATGGTGCATTTTCTGGTTTTTGTTTGTTTGTTTGTTTTGTTTTGTTTTTTTGTATAAGAAAGAGAGAGAGAGAGAGGGAGAGAGAGAGAGAGAGAGAGAGAGAGAGGGAGAGAGAGAGAAAAGGGTCATGTATATCTATCTTTTTTTAAAAAAAATAAACCTTTATTGTTCATATTATTACAAAAGTTCCTCATTTTTTTCCCCTCCACCAGGTTCCTACCCTACCCTCTGCCCTTTCCCTATCCCCCATTTTCCTCATCAATAGGTGCACAGTTTATGTTCAGTCTCTTCCCGCACCCCCCACTCCTCTTTTCCCTGAGAATCATCAGTCCACTCCCCTTCCATACCTCTGATTCTATTATATTCAACAGTTAATATTGTTAATCAGGTTTTTTAATTCCCTTGGTTTTTAGATTCACTTGTTGATAGTTATGTATTTGTTATTCATAATTTTTATCTTTATTTTCCTTCTCTTCCGAAAGAACCCCCTTCAGCAATTCATATAATTCTGGTTTGGCAGTGATGAACTCCTTTAGCTTTTTTTTTTATTAGTGAAGCTCTTTATCTGACCTTCGATTCTGAATGATAGCTTTGCTGGGTAGAGTATTTTTGGCTGTTGGTTCTTGCTATTTATCACCTTGAATATTTCTTGCCATTCCCGTCTGGCCTGCATGGTTTCTGTTGAGAAATCAGCTGACAATCGTATGGGTGCTCCTTTATAGGTAACTACCCATTTCTCTCTTGCTGCTTTTAATATTCTCTCTTTGTCTTTTGCTCTTGAAATTTTAATTATGATGTGTCTTGGTGTGGTCCTCTTTGGATTCCTTTTGTTTGGGGTTCTGTGCGCTTCGTGGACTTGTAGGTCTAATTCTTTCACCAGGTGGAAGAAGTTTTCTGTCACTATTTCTTTCAGTATGTTTTCATTATCTTGCTCTCTCTATTCTTCTGGGACCCCCGTAATTCTGATGTTGGTTCACTTGAAGTTGTCACAGAGATTTCTTACATTATCTTCAACTTTCTGGATTCTCTTGTCTTCTTGCTTCTGCAGAGGAGTATCTTTTGGCTTTTTATGTTCCAAATCTTTGACTTGATTCTTGTGATCTTCCATTCTGCTGTTAGTACTCTGTATAATATTTTTTATTTCAGACAATGTATTCTTTATTTCTTGTTGATCCCTTATTATTTCTTGTTGATCCCTTATTATTTCTAGTTCATCCCTTTTCATATCCTCATAGGTCTCTTTTATTTTATCGGCCTTTTTTAGGAAATTCTTGAAAAACCTTATAAGCATGGTTTTGAACTCTATATCTAGTCGCTTTTTGTCCTCCATTTCTTTTGTTTGTGATATGTTTCCTTGTCTCGGCATTTTCACAGCTTCCCTGAGTTGGTTGCCTTAAAAGTCTCTGTGTTCAGCTTGGATGGGGCGGAGTTTCAGGGTAGAGCCTACAACCTTGGCTTCCATTAGCCACGCCCTATGAGGCTCCTGAGTCTCAGTATTCCTCAGGGTCCTTCAGTACTCGTTGCAAGCACCTCTGAGAGAAAGGTGCCCTCGAGTTTTGCCTGCTATCAAACAGTCTAGGCTCTCCCCCATGAGCCCAGAACTGGGGTTCAGTTCAGTTGGAAGTGGGGTTCAAAGCAGTCTGGAGCTTTTGTCTCCTTCCCACTAGGGCAATCCAGCGGCATAGTCAACTGCCCGTTCTCTGTGCGCAATGTGTGCGCCTCTGGGACTTCCTTTCGCCACTCCTCTGGGTTTCCACCTTAACCCCAGGCTCCCTCTGTATGAGCCTGGGTCCCTAGGGTCTGGCCTAGAACTGGGGTTCAGTGCAGTCGGAACTGGGGCTACAGCACAGACCAGAGCTTTTGTCTCCTTCCCACTAGGGCAATCTAGCAGCAGAGTCAACAGTCCATCCTCTGCGCATAATGTGCGCACCTTTGGGGGCTCTGCCTTTCGCTGCTCCACTGAGATTCCACCTAACAGCCCAGGTTCCCTCTGTATGAACCTAGGTCCCCAGAGTCTAGCATAGAACTGGGGTTTAATGCTATCAGATCTGGGGTTCAGCACAGTCCGGAGCTTTTATCTCCTTCCCGCTAGGGAATGCCAGCCAGGCACTCAGCCTCCCCCTCCACTCCAGCTCTGTCCTCTTCGCGTGCGCAATGTGTCTTTGTACCTTAGGCTTTTACAGCTCCTCTGATTTTTTTTTTTTTTTCTGGTTTTCTCTTTCCTTCTCATAGAATTTTCAGTTAGTCGACTTTCCTGTAGTTCTGGGTAATGTCCATTTTGTATTTTGTTGTATTTTATTGAAATTGTTGTGTGAGGCTGCAGTTAGGTGTTACCTATGCCACCATCTTGGATTCTCCTGGAGGAAGCATTTTTATATTCTGTATATCTATCTTATTTGTTGGCATAAGAACACATTGTTTGTACCAAACCAATAAGTAGATTCAGGAGCATTAAATCATTGTGTGTCAACATTACTGTGGAAAAAAAAAAAGTCCTAGTACACAAAATGAGCATGTATTATCACTGGAAAAAGTGCACTGACTTCTTTTGAAAGTAAAAATGTATTAAAATTCATTTCTTGCGTTGACTGACTCTAGTCTAATATTCTAAAATATTCTAACACTTCTAAACTTACAAAGATGGCATTTTACTGCCCCCCCCCCTTTTAAAAATATCTCTTTCATTTGGATGAACTTAACCTTCGGATAGCTTTTCTTGGTAATAACAGTGCATTGAATTGCCATATCTCTGGGTGAGAGATGAGAAAACCATTGAATGAGAATGAAAATGTCCAATTTATACTTAGAAATGGAGGATTGCCCCAGTGAATGTTGATTATAGCCCGACATGTGTTGTTGTGCTGTGGCATCAGGAAATATACTCAAGACCCAGGCCAAGTTATATATAAATAAGCATAGTGGGTATATTAGTTTCCCAAATACCACAGAGAGGATGGCCTCATTCTCTCCAGATCTGGATACTAGAGTCTGAAAGCAAGATGTTGGCAGGGCCTGGTCTCTCTGAAGGCTCCAAGGCAGAATCTGTGCCATGCCTTTCTCTCAGCTTCTCCAATTCTTGGCATCCCTTGGCTTGTAGATACATCACTATAATCTCTGCCTCCATTGTCACATGGCATATGCCTGTGTGTCTTTATCTGTCTCTTCTTTTTGTTTAAGGACACTCATAGTGGCTTAGGGCCCACCCAAATGAGCTCTTCTTAACTTGATTACATCTATAAAGGCCCCATTTCCAAATAAGGTCACATTCACAGGAACCAGGTGTTAGGACTTCAACATGTCTTTTTTGGGTACACAATTCAACCCATACTAGAGGGACAGAAGAATGTTCAGATCATGATCATTGAATTAGTTTTTTAGGTAGACTTTGGCCCAGCCACATCTAATCTCAACTATGGCTTCCCTATTTCCTTCCCTCACTCTGGTTTCAGGGCCATCTCTTGGTTTATCCTCCTAGTGTGACAAACTAGTTAATATTTGTCACCTTTCATCAATTTACACAGGTTTCTGTCTGTGACTAGACTGGTAGCATGGCGTCTCATTACTTTAAACTCTGGAAATAGAATTCCTTGATTGGAACCTAGAATGCCATTCCTGTGAGTCACTCCTATTGATCGCTCCCTTTTTGTTTTTAATTCTTTCCTATGCTGCTTAGATTTTTTTGTCATCACTTTCATTACCTTGCAACTCTCTTCCCCATCATCTTACTCTTTCATGTACTTGTTGAAACTCAATCTTGAATAACTCTATGATTTAGCCTGGGGAGCTGAGTACTGTCAGAGGAAATCACACAACCATTCACCTAGTCAGCTTTCTCTAAATTTTCTGCAGAGATATTGCATTTTATCCAAAAGTTCCTCAATCCTGTGGTATCAATGATTTCCCCTCATTTACAGCCTTCTCTTCAACTCATTTTTTAAAAAATCCCTATCCAAGGATATTTTTGTTTTCCATTGAAAGGAGGGAGTGAGTGAGAGGGAGTGAATGAGGGAGAAAGATAGAGAGAAAGAAAGATTGATGTGAGGAAAACATGTTGATGTGTTGCCTCCTGCATGTACCCTGACTAGGGCTGGGGATCAAACCTGAATTCCAGGAATTGAACTGGCAACCTTTTGGTTCACTGGACAATGCCCAAACAACTGAGGCACACTGGTCAGGGCCACACAGGTACCTTCTTAATTCCAGACCACCAAATCTACAAATTAGCCTTGATCTGCAACCATCGCTTTTCTTCTTCCCACTTCAACAAAGAAAGCAAAGTCCATCTAAGGTCTTAAATTCTGCCCTTGGCCACTTTTGTTTCTCACACTATACTATCTCCGTGGGACTTCTATTACTCTCATGAATTTACATGCTGATAATTTCCAAATCTGTAACTCTAGATTATATCATTCTCCAAAGACTCATTCACATATCTCACTTAGATATCCTGTAGGCACCTTCAAGCACCATGTAAAAATTCCAAGTTATAATCTACTCCTCAGCACTCCTCTAATTGCTCTGATTCCTGAGTTCCCCATCTCAGTTAACCCTGACCGCATTTTTTCACATGAGAGACTGGGTGTTCTCTGTAGCAGATTCCATTGGGCCTGATCACTCCATGTGCTCCTGTCCATTTTCAATGGCCAGTATCTGCATCTTTTATTATTGAGGTCCTTTTTGGAAGCAACAAGGGAGAACAGGCTTGAAAAGCTGCAAAATTAAAGCCATCAACAAAAGACTTATAGGAATTGGTTCATAGATCTCCCAGCTTGTCAACTTCTTGGGTGGGATAACTCTTGGGTCATTTGTTTCATGCCATTTCCCAGAATTTTTCCATGACATTTACAACATAGTTGACTTGATAAAGCTTTCTATCTTGGCTAACTTCCCTCCATATAACTTACTCACCATTCTACTCACATTCCCTGTTCTTCTTGAGTCAACTACTTGTCCTTGAATCCTAGCTTTGAAGTCTGTTTCTCGAGGAAACCAAAGTAAGACATTATCCTTCTTTCTATGCCCTTCCTTTCTTCTTCTAGTCAATTACCAAATCCTATTAATTCTACTTCATAATCATCTTGGTAAGGAAGCCACTTCTCTTCAGCCTCACTACCATCACCCAGGGCCACTGTCATCCAGCAACAGTCTCCTACCTGCCTCCCTTCACTGTTGTCCCCTTTAATCCTCTCTCTTCCCTTTAGGGGAGTGATCTTTCTTCTTCTTCTTTTTTTTTTTTTTTTTCTCTTTTTAAAAAAAAATATTTTAGTGATTTTTTACAGAGAGGAAGGGAGAGAGATAGAGAGCTAGAAAAGTCGATGAGAGAGAAACATCAACCAGTTGCCTCTTGCACACCCCCCACCGGGGATGTGCTGGCAACCAAGGTACATGCCCTTGACCAGAATCGAACCCGGGACCTTTCAGTCGCAGACTGATGCTCTACCACTGAGCCAAACCAGTTACAACAAGGGAGTGATCTTTCAAATATTCAGATTTCATAGTATCACCACCACACTGAACTTATCAGGTCTCAATTTACAGTTAAAGAAGCTTTCCTTGATCTTTCAATTCTAGGATCCAGGAAAAGGAGCACCCTAGTATTTCCTGTTAGAGAATGTACCCTTCCCTTCCCTTCCCTCCCCTCCTCACCCCTCCTTCTCCTCTTCTCTTTCCTTCCCACCCTCACACCCTTGTTGTTGTTGTGCTCTTACACTGTAACTCAACATAGGGTACAGAGTAGAAACTCAAATATTTGTTGAATAAATAAATGCTTAACAGGTTCTTCCTGCCTTGCCCATGTTGGCCTGTTTCTGAAGGGCCAGAATCAGAAATCTAGAGAATACATTTGCAGTTTGTACTGTGTTTACTCTTATGTCTCAATTTAAGTTTTTCCCCCACTCATAAATGATGACTAGTGATCTAATTAGGGGATGAGGTCATTAGGCAATGGTGAGTCAGGCATAGGACTGATTTTGTTTAAACCTTAATAGGTAATTTTTCCTGTTACTTGGTATACAAAGGAATATGGACAAGATGGTAGTTTGGAATTTCCAAATTCCTTACATTTAAGGACTTTCCTCAACCCTTAACATTTCTACTTTTCTAAGAACTTACTTCAAATACTTTATTCCATAAAAATGTATTTTAAATGTATTCTTTCAAAGAATAAATTATTTCATCAGAATAAATTCATTACTGCCTGTTATCATTTGAATTCTGTTCATTGAACTTCTGTCCAAGTAGGTTTGTTTGTATTGAAAAAGAAAAAAGCTACCATTATAATTCCTATCCAATTTGACAAAATTTAAACTTCAAAACTTTTGACTCTTATCGATGCCTCTAATCTAGATGCTTTCTTCTCCCACTTAAAAGAATCTGAAATTGCAGTTATTTATTCTAATTACCTAACTGAAGTGAATGACCTATGCTATAAATCATATTACTTCTAATATAGGATTTCAGCTACAGCACGCAAACCACTTTATTTTTTTCTCTCCTTTTGTTGTTTTTAGTATGGGGTAGTTGTTAAAAGCACAAGTTTTAGAATATGACAGGCAGGCTAAAGTCCTCATTTTGCCAGTTATTAAGCTGTGTGAGAAGAAGTAGTTTACTTTATCTCTCCAGGCCTCAGTTTCTTCATTAAAAAAATATTTTTATTGAATTAAAGAGAATGGAAGAGGGACAGGGAGAGAGAGAGAGAAACATCAATGATGAGTGAGAATCACAGCTGCCTCCTGCACTCATTAGGGGATGATGTCATTAGGCAATGGTGAAAATTGAACCCTAAACCCAAGCATGTGTCCTGACCAGGAATCAAACCACAACCTCCTGGCTGGGTGGCTCAGTAAGTTAGAGTTATGTCCCATGCACCAAAGAGTTGCGGGTTCAATTCCCAGTCAGGGAACATACATACCTAGGTTGCAAGTGCAAACTCTGGTCAGGGTGCATATGGGAGGCAACTGATAGAAGTGTCTCTGTCTCTCTCTTCTTCTTCTTCTCTCTATAACTCAATAAAAATATATCCTTGGGTAAGGATTAAAAAGAAAAACAGCTCTGAGGCTTACTGTAAAATAAATGAGACAATATCATTATCATTGTTATTTATTATCTGTTAGTGGCAGAGTAAACCTTATGTTATCTAACTTAGTCCTCATATCAATACTGTGATGTGGGCAATGCTATCATCTCTAGGTTACAGATAAAGAAATTAAAGCCTAGAGAAGGTAAGGAAACTTGCCTTATAATAGTAATAGTAGTAGTAGTAATAATAATAATAATAATAATAATTCACCATGTACCAGGCACTATTCTAAACTGTTTACATATGAACTCAGTTATTCCTCAATCCTTAAAGGTAGGTCTTACTGTTATCCCCAATTTGTAGGAAACTAAGACTCAGAGCTATGAAGTATTGCAATTTGTGCAAGATAAGGGTGTTTACTGCTCCTATGCAGTAAAACTAGGATTCAAAACCAGGAAATCTGGCTTTGGAGAATGTATGCTAAGACTTTTTTTGTGGCTAAACACACAACCTGTTCTGGAGAATGTTTCTGTGGGCTTGAGGAGGATGTGTATTCTGCTGCTGTTGGATAGAATTATTTATTAGTGTCTGTTAGGTCCTTTGGTCTAAAGTATAATTCAACACCAGTATTTCATGACTTTCTTCCTGGATGATAAATCCAGTATGGAAAGTGGAGTATTGAATAACCCCTACGCATTATTGTTATACTAGAGGCCTGGTGCACAAAATTGTGCAAGGAGGAGGGGTTTCTCAGCCCTGTCTGCACCCTCTCCAATCTGGAACTCTTCGGGGAATGCCAGAATGCCTCTTGCGGTTAGACATCCCTCTCAAAATTTGGGATGACTGGCTCCTAACCACTTGTCTGCCTGCCTGATCACCCCTACCTTGCCCCCCCCCGCCCCCCCGCCTGCCTGATCGCCCTTAACCTCTCTGTCTGCCTGCCTGATTGCCTCTAACTTCCCTCCTTTTCTGGCATAATCTTGTCTCCAACTGCCCTCCCCTGATTGCTCCTAACTTCCTCAGCCTGGGCCTC